TACTGCATTTTAATGGCCTCCTCACAGATGTCTTTAGGTGAAGAACCTTTGTGATGTGGACAAACGGTAGATATCCAGCATGAATGTGGTGTATTCAGCTATCAGGTCCATATTATTGCTCTTGGTCTTGTTCTGGCTGGCCAGTTGTGAGAGGGGATATTAGCGTACCATAGTGTTTCTGATTTCATGATCCTGACCTGTTCTGCCTCTCATCCACTGAGCCTTTCTGTTCCCATCTGAATGGGTTGCCTGAACTGTCTTTGGACTCCTGGACCTCTGAGCCTTTCTGATCTGTTTCCCTGAACCGGACTACTGCATGTTCTCCGGGGCTGCAGAGATAGGGACACTCTTGGCGGTGCCCGCCCGCCCGCATCCTGTTGGCAGCCCACCGGCTGGAACCTACCTCGATGTCTGGCAATGGACTGAACTGTTAAACCAGGTTAGTGACTCACATGGATAATCATCCTCCGTCAGATTATCATGGTCACTAACCTTTGTTTCTCTCCAACAGAGATTCAGTGATAGAAGCCCTAGTTGCTGATACCGCTAATCCTACAGCCCAGTTTTGTATTAATAAATGCCTATTTGAAGTTATCCCACTGTCTGTTCTGCCTGCATTCTGGGTCCTCTGTCCTGTGTCAACCCAACAACCCAACATTCTGCAGCAACTTTGTGGTGACTTCCTCTCACTACGGACCAAAACTTCTGAAAAAAAATCTGATATCTTGTTTATGTGTTGTCTATTTGAGAAAAGCCTGGGTGGTATAACCCATTAGTGTGAGGGGTACAGCACAAAGAGGCTGGTAGATTTACCTTGTTTCCTTTTCACTGGTTTTGGTAAATAGGTTTAGATGATCCATTCTCTTCCCACTTTGTTGCATGCCAGATGCTATCTATTAAAGACCACAGCTGCAAAATTTTCATCAAAATAATTATTTATTCAACCATAATGCATCAACAGAATATGTAGAGTGGGGAAGAATAAAAGTTTTCGTTTTAGTGATAAAACATTTATATAGAATACAAACAAATTTTTTAATCAATTTTGACAGGACCAAATTATAGAAACATTTACTTCTGTTTACAATACCAACATTGACGCGAAAGGATTCTGCATCAATGGGAATAGTCAAGTAACCTTGCGCTGCAAGCTGCATTCTTGCAAAATCTGAGTTTTCAGTCTCACAACAAATCCATCTTGTAAGAGTCCCATTAGTACGTCCGTCTCCTAACAACCGACGGGTCAGACCAATGACATGCCTGAGGTTTTTTTGGGGGCGGGACAGGTAAGAATGACGACAGTCAGAAGGGCCATTACTAACATGGCTGGAGGACTCACCTGATACCGCAATTGACTGAGTTTTAGCTAAAATAGCGACAATTTCTTATTTAAAAAAGAAGGAAAGAGAAGCACCTTGTGCATTTGTAGATTTGCTGCTACGATTGGCTAGTATCGTACTATGACAGGTTGGTACTAGGTGGCACTTCACCCAATCAGCTTGAAGTATTGTACTAAACGTCCCTCCTTTTCATGGACAGACTGAATGGCAGTCATAAACTCAATTCTACACATATCAATACTGCCAGATTAATAGTAGACTGAGGTCATGGGAGATGGAACTTGGACGTTGCCAGAATGTAGTAGCTTGGTGATAGCCCCAGGAAATGGCTTCTTCTTGGTGCTACATTTTTTTAAACTTAAGCGGACTGAAAAAGAAACCAGACAAGGATAAACATCAATCAAGCTTTTGAGCATTTGGTGCCAAACTCACGCAAGGAAATGAGCTCAGAATTCACGGGGGGTTATTGCTTTACTTCTGGACTGATAAAGTAAAATTTTGCTAATGCATTGACGGACATGGCAACAGGCTGGCATACTCTATTATTGAAGGTTGGAATGAGACTCAAAGCCCTGTGTACTGGCTTGGAGGATTTAAACTTATCTTCTTTATTTAATAAAGTCAAACTGAAATCATGTGGAATATTCTGTTGCTCCCTTGTTTGGAGTGCAAATCTACCCTGAGACTATAAGGAAACCAGACCTACCCTACTGTTGGCTTAAGCTCCCTGCACTAGACACACACACACACACACACACACACACACACACACACAAAACAGCAAAAAAAAAAAATGCACGGTCGATTTTCTAAAGGCATTAAGAGATATGAAGATCCAAGTTTAAAATCAGCACTTTTTATTTCACCCTGAAACCTCAAAAGTCGCTAGAATAAAATCTCCTGTTTATTCTTTTCCATTTCTAAATGAGCCTTATTCTTTTATTGTAGGGGTAATTCATCAGTGTTCCAAGAGGTAATAGCTTCCTTGCCTCTTTCAACAGTTTGAAGAGAATTTTAGCTCCTAATTAAATTTGAGCCAAATTTATTGTTTCCTGATAAAATAAAGTTACCCTCAATTACCAAATAAAACACCATGAAAAAAAGTCTTTATTCTTCCCTTGTGTGCCTTTCTGAGCAGAAATGGCTCTTGGAAGTTGGGCTGAGTCATTTGAAGTAAATGAGCCACGGGGCTGAAACAGGTTGGCATGGTTCAACATGTCAGTCACAGTCCACAAGCAGAGCACAGTAGCACCTTTCCATGTTGCCCGGCCGCTTGTCAGCAGCTACATTAAGCCATTACACAAGTGTGGAAACCGCCTCCCTGACTGGCCCACAGCAGCACACACATCCGCTCAGGGATACATACCATAATTATCCCCCCACTTCATACTCATCTCCCCTGGCAACTGCAATCATACAACCGAAATAGCTTGGGTTAATTCATTACTTCGGTGGAGGGAAGCTGGCTGCCTGTAATGACACCAATTGCCCTGGCCTAAACGGCGGTAATAGGACCTCTCGGTACACTGGCGAGGAAATGGCTGCAATTGAGTCTCCTCTACTTCCTAGCAACCAAAGCTCGGGCCTGTAAGCCAGAGGGAGGAAATGCTTTGCATTACCTGAGCCCCGAAGCCTAAAATGCTGCCTAATGAAGGCAAAATTGTATGAATTAAGCTGACTCTAGTGGAAGGTAACAAACAGAAAAGTGGAAGCATGTGTGTCAAATGGGGTTGATGCACTAACTGCCCAGTGGGAAGATTAGAACTGACCGGAATCTGCTGGTCAACAACAATCAGGAAAGACCAGAGGGGAAGCAAACATGGGCCACCTGCTGAGCTCCCTGCTGGATACAGACAGCAGAGATGGAGAAAAGGTGATAATGGTGCAGAAAAGAGGGCGGAAGTTGGAGTTTACACTGAGGGTCCATCTTTTGCTAAAATTATCCCAGATCAAACAATATTCAACCATCTCCTTATCATATACATATCTGAGGGGTTTGGTATCAAACCAGACTATGTAAAGGGTGAAAAGGTTTATCCAACCAAACAGATGGGAATGTTTCAAAAAGTGTCAAGATGGGACAAGCCCAATTTTCACTACCATCTGAAACGTGCCGAGCTTGGATCATTTAACAGTGCCAAGCTCAGTTCCTTACGACCGTTTACACACCATGCTAGCACAGTTCCTCGCCTCCTAGTGGCAATCTACGGTACTACTGCTCTCTAGAGGTAAACAAGCAAATCAACAGGGCGGCACCTGTAACATTCAGGAAGTTTGCGGTGGCAAGGTAGGAAAGCTAGTACTTTTATGAATCTCTGAAATTTCAGGATTACGTAGGCTGATTGTAAGGAGATGACGCGGGCTTTTCATGTGCTCTTTATCTGAGAACTGAGCCAGAACTGAACCGCGCCGAGCCCTACTGATGAACTAGTACCATGTTAGTGTGGTTCGGTTGTGTCTGGCTCAGTCCGGTTCAGCTGTGTGTGCCATTTAAACTCAAAAGTTATCTTGGTTTTTATGCTCGGACCGATCTTAGCAAGGTTACAAAAAGGTTAGTGTATATGGGGCTATAGTGCTCTGAAGACAAACGCACCCCAGCTGAAAGCTCACATGTTCATGGTGTGAAGGGTAGGGGTGTAAATTACACTCATCATGGCGATTCGATTCAGTAACAATTTCCTGACCCAACGATTCCATTATTTTTGATACTGAAGAATACACCAAGATGCGATTCGACTTGATTAATTGGTTAATTTTTTTCTTTACCTTACAGGTTACACAATGTTTTTTTAAATTTGAAATAAATCAATGAAAGCTGTAATATTGTTATGCATTTTATTTGAGAAACAACAGCAAACAACAGAAGTAGCAAAGTTGTACTCCACCTAAGCCTATGAAAACCTCATTCCCTGAAAAATAATAATGCCTCTGCGTTATAGATTCTGAAAGGCCTTGCATCAAAAAATACTGCAATGAATGCATAAGTGCAGTAGCAGATTAAGTAACAAAAACAGGCCGATATTACATTTACTATAGAATAACAATACTCAACAAAATCTGTGCAATGAGTCCAAAAGTGCCCTAGCAACAAATGGTAACAAAAAATAGGCCTGTACTTCATTCACTATGTCTGTCTTGCCTACTGTTTATGCAAGTGTGTGTGTGCAAGCAGAAAGAGGGTAGTGGATAAAGCAAGAGAGGTAGGACGGCAAAATAGGTTTAGCGCCACCGCAGCACGGGAGTCAGAAGTATGTCCAGGAGCAAATGGATAAAAATAGACCGGAGGAGAAAAAAAAACATGAGTTGCTACTCTTACGGACGTGTCGAGGCATCGGATCGTCGGCTTTTGGATCTATGCATCGATACAAAACAGTTATTATTTACATCCCTAGTGAAGTGTTTTATGAAGGATAAACAATAGTGTTGTTTACTGCACAAAGAGAAAGCCAAAATGGGAAAATCTGCACACCTTATCTTACCTTCAATTACAGGCATTCAGTTTTTGCATAAAATCCTTCCAAATCAGCCACACTTTCAACTTTTCTAACAATGTTTTCATGAAGTTCCCCATCTAATAAACTTACTGAGGGTGAGCAGGAGAATACAAAAAAGCATGATTTTTTATGTAAACAGATTAGAACATATATACAAAGCCCAGTTGAAACTTGTCATCCTTTTTTTTTTTTTTTACCATTATTTATAGCAAAGTCCTTAACTGCAGGGGAAAAAAATAGTTTTCCTTTTTAACTACCATAGTTTCAAGAACCTTTTTGTTTAAAACACAGACAAAACATCAATAGGATTTTGTACTTAATGTATATTTCCTCTAGGATGAAAAAAAAAAAGAATTTCATAATTCAGCAAAATGTTAACATTAAAAGCAGAATAGATTTCTTGGGGGTATCAATTAAAATGTTTAACAAGTCCTCCTCGCCTCAGCAGCTTCATACCAACAAACCTCAGTCAGAAATACCTCAAACAGCACATTGTGGCCATAATACTATTGGATCACATCTCTGCTCTCCTATTGGTTGGCTCCTAATAAAAGCAACTTTCTTTATTCCAGCCTGTTGGAAAGGCTACCTGTGGAATGAGGTACGGATTCAGGCACCCTATTGGTGCAGAGATAATGCTATCTGGCTGATCTTCAGTTGGAGAGGATGAGGCCAAGAGCTCGACTGGGCCAGAGAAACGTTTCAGTAGTGGCCTGGTGGGCAGATGGGAGCCAAGAGTTCATCTTCCTCTTCTAGTCCAGGTGGAGGCACGCAGCTTCACAACAGCCTAAGCAATAAAAAAAATGTCTCTTTATGTTGAAATGAGAACTTGTTCAGAAGCCTTTGAGAAAAAAAAAAGTTACCTTAGATACTGTTTAGATTCCCATGGGCACAAACCGTCTCCTAGCTGCTTCAGAGATGTTGAAAGATGCCTGGAAAGACGAGGAAGCATGAAACAAAATGTCTGGAATCAATTTCTTGTCTGTTTTGAAATCATCAACAGGTGTAAGCAAAGCAGAAACACATCGCTGTGAAAACGAAGCCCCCAAATCAGGTCGGCTGTTGAAAGATAAAAACCATCGCTCTCTGCGGCCTCAGCTGTATAGGAGCATGATGGGCAGCCAGGGACATCATTTGTTTATGTTTGACTTTGTAATGAGATTCTTCATTTTGAGTTGCTTCTTGTGAAGAGTGGATCCCTACAGGACTTGCACAGGGAAAAACAAAAACAGGAGAGCTACTCCTGTCTGGCAGGTTTTGATCCAGTTATGACCAGGAGCAAAGTGCTGCAGCAGAGACAAAAGCAAGGAAGAAATAAATAAACACAACAAAAGCAACAAAAATATAGTTTGGATGCCCCTGCCAACAGTGCAAGTTATATTTTCTACAATTTACTGTTAATAAATAAAATATAAAGTAAACCTTTTGACTTGGATTGAGAAGACCCAAAGTTGGATTGAAAACATACATGTTATACATGTTTTCTATTTGGCTACGATCTACTTTAGAAAGTCACTTTGACTGATTTATAAAAATAAATAAACAGCTCAACACATATATGAGAACATTGTATAAATGTGTTATTTTGTTTTCTGTGATCTTTGTTACTTTTATAGATAAACAGGAGTCAAAAAATTTGTTTTTTATTTGTTTATTATGAAATCCCAACATAAACCCCAGATTAATCCACTCCAGGTTAATACATTTTACTAGGTTCAACATTGAGGGGCAATAATGGATACTTCTACAGTCAAGGTTTTCTAAGGTATTTTAACCAAAATGGTCAAGCAAGAAAAAATGCAATTCTGTTAAAATATATATATATATATATATATATATATATATATATATATATATATATATATATATATATATATATATATATATATATATATATGTGCCTTGGTTTTTAACAAAAAAAAAACAACAAATTTTTTTACTTGTTCAGCATCAAACAAATGATACAATATGATACAATATCTAGAATTAGCGAGATTTTCAATGAAGATGGTTTTGTTTATGATCATCGGTCCACTGATGTGTGAATAGAGACAGTTGCTGAAAATGTATAAATGTGAAAATGTATATATATATATATATATATATATATATATATATATATATATATATATATATATATATATATATATATATATATATACACATTTTCACATTTACGTACAATGTACTAGCCTGACGTAGTCCTACTCGATTCTAGTCAGAATATGAGTCTGATACTGCTCCATAGAGCTGTGATTATGGGGCGTGTTTCGAAGGAACCAGGAAAAAAAATGCCTCTGCACTCAATTGGATAGACCTACAACCAATAAGAGCAACGGAGTGCGTGACGTATGTTAAGCGATGCATAGTTGTTGTCAACAAAAATCAAAGCGTGCAGTTGCACGCCTAGAATAAGAAGATGAGCCTTGATCGCGTTTCTCTTTTCCTCTTTTAAAATTAATTTGTTGTCGATATCTTCTAGAACAGACCTAATAGCAGAATCTACTCACCTCAACTCTCCAGCGGCAGCCATTGTTGTTGTCACCCAAGCGCGCTTTGGTCACGTGGTTGATTACATTACTGTTGATCATCTGTCCATCATCGTATAAAGCCCGCCCTGACAATTTGATTGGATCGCCAGAGGGTGGGCGATCATACTCGCGCAACTATGGAGCAGAGCCAGACCGAACTTCCCGACCTCAAACCTTGTGGGCGGGACTAAGTTCGGAATGGCACCCAGGCTAACAATGTACTATTTACAAATGGAAAAATACTATAGCATAAACAGACATGTAGCAATGCATTCTTGATGTAATCTCTTGAAATTATATGTAATATGTGATTACCATAACAATGTAATCAATACGTGTATATTACATTTACAGCATCAATTTAGCACTTTTGGCACATTCATAATTTCTATGTGTGTGTGGGGGGGGTGCATGTGTAATATTTTTAACATCTAAGCAGACTATTATTTTGCTCAGCTAACACTTATTTTTTGTGATGGATTTGTATATGTTTTTTTTTTTATGTGATGTACCTATTTTTTACTATACATTACAGTAATCTAAGATGCAGCAAGTGTGTGTAAAAGTGATGAATTGTTCGTTGTTTTAAAAGTCTTAAGCACCCTGAAAAAAAGAAAACCATTGTTGTAGCCCACGTATTATTTACATTCTGACTGGTCTAACCCACTGATCTCTATGAATAAATAGAGATCAATGGTTTAACTAGGGAGTACCAATATGGTGGCTGGTGACTTCACAGCAACGTGTGCTACCAACGGCCTATCAGCATTGCACTGAATAAATAGAGATCAGTGGTAGAGACCCACAGCTCAGGTGTTGACAGCTCAATAATATCACTCCTTAAAAATCTGGACTTTATGGCCCTTGTCTCCATGGAAGAGTGGCGGGAAGAATAACATTTTGGGGGAAAAAGGATTTTTGGAAATAGCCATAAGCAGTGTAAGATACAACACAAGCATAAATGGTGATCACACAAGATCACCATTTATGGTAGGAAATTCAGATTTTACCTGAATCATGTTCCTGTACAGCTGAGTAATTGGAATTTTCCTGCGTGTGTCATGAGCATTCCTTAAGGAAAATCTTTTCCATGTGTTAAAATGACCCAGTCAAAGTCCAGGACACTGCGGCAGGCAAAGTGATCTGGAGCAATCTCAGGAAAAGGATCAGTCAGATCTTTGCTTAGTGCAGCAAAATGTGCCCCACATACCGTACACACTGTGGGAACATTTAAGGCACGCTTCTGTTTACAAAGCTTTACTTGGGGACAACTTGAATACAAGGCACTGTTTTTCTTCCACTAAACCCCAATTAACTGCTACACCCCCGGTATTCTCCTTAAAATAAAAATCACACCTATTCAGGTATGATCTTTTAATGAGAAAAAAATAAAAAATCTTCTAGAGCAGGCATCCCCAAACTCGGTCCTCGAGGGCCGCTGTCCTGCAGGTTTTAGAGGTTTCCCTGCTTTAGCACAGCTGATTATGTTGATTGCAGTAGAGCAAAAGGCTGTTAATCAACCATCAATTAAAATCAGCTGTGCTGGAGCAGAGAAACATCTAAAACCTGCAGGACAGCGGCCCTCGAGGACCGAGTTTAGGGATGCCTGTTCTAGAGGTTTGTATACTTTCCCAGTGAAATACCATAGGTCAGTTTTACTGATTATTAGAGTAAAATCTGGACCTTTGACAAGTTTAATGATTTTAGATGGAGTTAAACTTCAAAGACCAAAAACATAGCCTCAAAAAGGTGAATTTTTAAGGGATATTGTAAGTTTTTCAAGAAACTTTCAAGATCCATACAGAAGCCGTTTCAAACAGTGATTCACCATCGGGGCTAAGACAGTTTCTGTTGGGTTTTCTTTCTGCTGTCCCTCAACACCTGCTTGCAATCTGCTAATCACCACACCTGTGCTCCATCTACTCATGCAATCTCTAAAATGGTTCATTGTTTTGGTATCATTATGCCAGTGAAACAGCTGAAAGGTAGCATGTTACTTGTAACATGTTGGCCACTGCTTTATTCTGCTTTTGAATCACAGGACGGGATATTTACTGCTCAAAGCGAAAACATCATGAAGACCCACAAACAATAAATGCTGGCTTCTTTAATAATAAGACTGTTTCCATAACAATCAACATGATTTCAGATGGGTCTGCGACAGAGTGCTGGACCTTCTGTAAAGTCCTGATGCATCTAGTAAATATATATGTTAAAAGCTGAAGGTATCTGTGGCGACTTCAACAATGGTGGAGGATGCATATTACTGATGACCAATGATTATACTGACCTCTGAAGCAACTTCTCGAAATATTTCAGTGTCAGGAGATATTGCAGTTGCTACTTCGCTCCAGGTCCTATTTCATCTCCTGCATGTAAAGAAAAGATTTAACGACTATCCTCCAGACAACAGCAATATAAAATGTCATCCCGTTTTATGTTTTTGATATGTTATTTTTAATATATATTTTTATGATAATGGATTCTACTGTTGGATGTGTAGCTTTATTAGTTTAATACAAATATTCGAAGATGCAATGAACAGGTCTGTTCCGCAGCTGTTTAAATTTGTGAAAACTTCATGTTGGATTGTGAGGCAGAACTTCAGCATGAATTCAAGTTGATCTTACAGACAGAGCTCCTAGGCCAGTCCTATACCAGAGTTAAAAGCTTAAAGTTGATACATTTGGGATTATTTATTAAATCTTGTTAATTTTAAAATTTTATTTCAAGATTTGAACTAATACTTTCATTTCAAGCTTTTCTTTTAGGCACAGATGTCTAAACTTTCTTCTCTGTATACTTAATCACCTACATTTTTGCCAATAAACGCCTTATAAACGCAAAAAAGAAGTGAGTAAAAAAGGCAGTTTTGGAGGAAAACTAGACCTGAGGTTTGCGGACTTAATACCTAAACTGAATTTTAAACCTTTAGTTTTAGTCCCTCATCTAACCCCATTCCTACATTTGTGGATGAGAAACTCAAATCTGAGGACTAAATTATGACAGAATAGTAGTTAAAGGACTTGGATGATTGAAATGAATCTGAATTTGATATAAGTTAATATGAATTGTAATGTTTGCTTAGGGCATTGTATGGAGGAATCTTTTCCTTCACTGTTGTAAGCTATAAGGAAAGGCTGATGTTACAGCAAAATCTATCACCCGTCATATATTGTGACCAAAGGGGCACTAAACGTATTTCACCATTGACTTCATTAGGTTTTAGTATTCATTTTGTGACATTAGGACTGTGTTCAGTTGCGGCGGCTGTGTCTCCCGAGCAACATTGTCTACTGTACCTGGATCGGGTCCTTCGAGGGCCTTGAAAATAAGGAGGCCAAAAGAGTTTGGCTACAGATTCAAACAGGCCCGGCCTTCTCTGGCTGTCCCCGCCCCTCATTCAGCGCACACACTGTTGCCTAGCAACAGTGACAGATGACTCACAACGTAGGTAAAGAAAGGATGCCGAACTTCTCACTACTTTTTGAGGAGCTTCAGCAGCAGTACCTTCATCGCAGATATCAGATTTATATTGGAATCTGTGCTAAAAAACGTCAGCTGAACCTATTTCCACAGGGACAGATAAAACCTTTCAATAAACCAAACATTACCTGCCACATATCTCACTCATTAACCATTTAAATGAACTATTTTCACACATTTTGGACGACATCATTCATTATATTAAGCTGCACTTCCAATATTCACCGCTGTTCGGAGTCATTTCCCTTTTTCCTCTGAGCACAGAGCAG